ATGCTGGCTGGGGAATTCTGGGAGTTGAAGTCCACACGTCTTCAAGTTGACAAGGTTGAGAAACACTGATATAGACAGTTCTGTCTGTTGGCACTGCTTTTTCCTGCATCCTCCCACACATCAGTATTTTTGTAACATCTGTTCTGCATGTTTTTTCTTTTGCCTTTTTCCTTTTCCCTTCCTTTTGACTCGCTCTTTTTTCCTATTTTCACACTTTCCCCACAATATTTAAGCTCTTAGCTTAAACGCTGTTGTCTCAAACCATTTTTTTTTTTTTTTGGAACAAGACTTCATCTGGACCCCAAATCCTATCCAACAGGTACAGAACATATCTCGGTCTTGGAGAAGGAAGGAAGGAATAGGAAACTAATAGGAAGTTTAAGGGAGCTTAATCAGGGAACGTGTCTCGGTGTATGTCGTTTCCCTTACAGCTGTCTGCGGGCTTGTGATATCCAAAAAGTTGTTTCAAAGTTTGGCTTCGTTTTCATTGTTAGGGGCGGAAGTCTCTGTGGATTCTTGGAAATCAGACTCTTTGTGTCTGTTGCAGCCTGCAGATCTATCATCGCAAACACATCTGGAAGGCACAGGGTAAAAAAGGCTGCCATATGGTCACAGCCCTCCAGATGTTAACCGTGGCCCGGATGACTTAGAATCAAAACATGGCAAGCTATTCCTTTTCTACCCGTGGGGCCTTGGAGGAGGGAAATTTGCATCATAACCGTTATGAATAAAATTACAAGCAAGAAACCTTGGAGAGAACAAAACCTTTTTGAGAAAAACGAAAGCTAGACTCCATGTATTACATTTTTTGATAGAAAATGGGCTCAGTCCAGTAATGCAGAAAGGTGTTGGGCTTCCCTTCCTTGGAGGGGTTCATGAAGAAGCTGGCTTCAGTATGGATTCCTTCTTGGGCAAGGGGTGGACTAGAAGGCCCCCAGATGTTTTTCCTATGAACTGAACAGATGTGCTTTGTGAGCAAGTGGCAACATTTAAGGGTGTATTTTGATGTTTGCATTTGGGCATCTTTTCCCTCTTTACTGACTTCTGTGAATCTGGATCTTCTGTGTCCCTGTGTAGGATTACGTTTTTCTGAAATGGTCAGCAGTAATAAAATTTTATGTTGTAAAACAATGAATTGGATAACTAGAAAGAGACTTGAACTCCCCAATTTCAGAAAACAAATGGAAGTGTCTACAGAACATGACAATGAAAACCAGCCAAAGTGTAAACATAATAGAAAATCAATAGCAAATTATTACTCAGTCATGTTCTGCCCCATGGAAGATTGAAAGGATCTCTAAGTTATCTGTAAATAAATGCTGGAGAACCATAAACAATACGTGGGGGACAAGTTTAGTTATATTGCATTTCTTCTGGCAACACAGGCACAAAGTGTGAGCAAACCATGAAATGCTATACTTCAGTTCAACTCAGAAATACAGCATTTGATTGATCAAATTCAGCTACAGTGATTTTGTTTCGTTTATTAGCTGTAGCAACAATGCTAGCTGCCAAAAAAAAAAACCTGAAAATCAATTGTGCATCATGCATTGTTTGCATGTTAAAACAGCCAACGTTTTTAACAGAACGCAGCTGACTAGTGTTCAGGAAAGCATTTTGGAAAATGCAGATGTAACAAGGCACTGGGAGAGAATGCAGATTTTTTAAGGAAAATACTACTTAACGGGTTACGATTTCTTTGGCTGAAATGAATCGCTGATCTGTTTCATAGGGCTCCCGCTGAGTTAAAGTTACTGTTCCTGATCCAGAGAAAGTTCACTGTGATTATGTCAGAAATTAATGAGTCATAAGTAAGTTGAAACTAATAGGTCCCATTGATTTCATTCACACCTACTCAATCCCCTTTTCTCTAAACTTGAACCTTATAATCTAAGGATGTATTTACATCTGTTCTCATCACATTATTCCCTTCCAGGGGTGTGAAACTTCAGCAAAATACATAAGATGTAAGAAGTGGTAAATGAAAGAAGTCAAGCATGGGGCATGAAAAAAAGGAAAGGAAATATGCCAAAATCTAAATTTAAGGATGTAAGGAAACAAGACAAGCTGCTCCACATTTTTGAAAATCTTGGAACTGGAACATCACCCCTTATTTATCCATTCATACTGAACCCGCATGGTGGTAAAAGGGTTCCATAGGCAGAATATAGGTATCTGCTCCCAGTGGACCTTAAAAGTCCAAGTAGATAATAGAAAACAACAGAGAAAGAGAAGAATGAGAAGGAAAATGCAAGGATATAAGCACATTTATACTTGGTTAGGGTTGGAATAAAGGATTTAAGAATATAAGACCAAGGCCATGTAGACTTTGCCTCTTTTAGCATCTATTTGGAAATGTGTTATGGAGATAATTCTCAGGCAAGACCCTTGTAGCTCTGTGATTTCATTCACATCTACTCAATCCCCTTTTCTCTAAACTTGAACCTTATAATCTAAGGATGTATTTACATCTGTTCTCATCACATTATTCCCTTTCAGGGGTACCATCTTGATTTAAGGCATTTTTGTCTCAATCCTTGGTTTGAGAATACTTGATTGTTCAGAGGGGCAGAAGAAGTTGGTGAAATTTGTTCCCCAAACCTGTCTGTTTATGTGTATGTCCATGCACATCTATGGGTAACAGCTGTTTTTTTGGGGGGGGGGCTTCTTGTATATTGTAGAAAGCTGCTACCAAAACCAGAAGTGGAGGATGAATTATTACGGACGTGCCGTCAGAACGAGAAAGAACTGGAGGGCTTGCCCTGCCTTTATGCCTCGTTGGAGGCTGATTCATGGAGTAGCATTGAAGATCTTCTTCGGATCATCAAGGATAAAGTTTGGGAAGAACAGCAGAAAACCATCTGGGTTGATGAAGAGCAGTTGTGAATCACAGATCCCACTGGTGACATGGGATCCTGCTGGCAACATAACGAAGCAATACTCAAGAGGAGAGAAGGGTCTTCAGTGAAGCCTGCAGCCTTTCTTCTCTCTTTATCAGATATCTGAGATTCTCAGCGACAGGTAGAACGTTGAGTGTGAAAGAATGTTTGAAAAAAAGAAGAATGTAAAGGTTGAACCATGACATTTCTAATGGGTACTTTGGGGTATGGAACTGGATTGTTCTCCCAGGGAGCTTGGCTCCAATGCTGTAGTGTCCACCATTTCTGGAACAATAGCTACTGAAGATCAGAAGTTTCAAAAAAGACATTTTGAAGTATAAACCTGGAACTGCAGGGTCTGAAAATGGACAGTGGGAGGGTCACGGTGAAGCATTTCTGACAGTGGCCAGGGAAGGCATCAGCTTTTCTCATTGCCATCTCATGGAGAGATGGGTTCAACTGTCCTCAGATCCGCCAAATTGTGTGTCATGAGAGAGAACTCAAAGTGAGTCTTGCATCTTCTATTCTCTATGAAGCCAATACAACTTAGGAAAGGGGAAACCATTTTCCCTTTGAGATCATAAGAACAGTCTTGCTGGGCCAGATTAAAGACCATCTGGTTTCTCAACCAGATGCTCTAAGGAGGCCACAAGCAGGATAGTAATCCAGAAGCTCTTGTTTTGGCTACCAGGACTGAAAACCGCAGTTAACTCTATCCTTCCTGAGCCATTTATTTTTTTATTCCAGATGTCAGTAAAGTTCCCTTAGGATCAGGGATGACTCTTACATATGGCTCTTGAATATTCTCTATTCTGTAGCTTCAGGGGTCAGGGCACAGCAGCGATTTCAGTAGGATAGCAATGTTTTCTAAAAAAAAATATTTGGGTTGTGCGAATGTTCTTCTTTTATTCCCCTTCCTATTTGTATCTTCCAGGGGCTAGTTGGGTTGTTCCTTCAGCCTCTTTTCCCCACTCTATCCCTTGCTACTACTACTGCCCTCTCTTTAAGTGATCCCACCCTATCAGGGATCCCAGCAGTCGAAGAGGCCACCGTGTCTCTAAGCAGTTGGCAGAGAATGGTGATGGGCAATGGTTGAGGGCTACGGAAAGTGGAAGCTGTGCAAATAGGTTGGTGTTCCCTCAAGCAATGTCAGAAGTTTACCAAGAGGGCAGCTTCTCCTCAGTGCTACTAAACATGTTTGCAGGAAACAGTTGAGTAATTTTGCCCAAGCTCTCCTGTTAAATCAACTCTAAGTCCACTGAGGAGCTATGTCCTTAGCCATCTGGAGCAGGAAAGACCAAACGACGCTGCCATGCGTTTCTGTGTGCCCCTGGGCCTCAGTGGGGGCTAGCATGGGGCGAAAATAAATAGAGTTTGCACAGCTGTGCCAGCAGATTGTGTCCTCAGCCAGCTGCGGCTGAGCATCTTCCATATCTAGCCCTTTGAAGAATGTAGATTGCCCAAGGCTTAGGGGCTGGTGGTGGCCACCGGTCCCCTACTTGGAAATCTTCAATTAAGTGGCAAATTCTTCCTCATACCCATTGCAAACTGCCTTGTCACTTGACATCTTTTTTTCTATAAAGACATTGATGAGCACATGAAAACCATCGTCTTTCTCTTTCTCCATTCCTCGGTGGGCATCTATCAAATATTGCAGATGCTCTTGTATCTAGTCATTTCGTTGATTGCAACTGGCTGTGGATTAGGGAGAATTTTTGTGAGAAGTTAAGCCAAAATATGGGAGGGGAGGGGGGCTTGTTTTGGATAAAGTGGAGTCCAGTGTATGAAGAAGATAACCAGAACAGGATTTTAGAAGGGAAAGATGGGCCGAAATGTAGTTATTGCAGGTAAATGGGGCATTCGGATTTTAAGATGGGCTTGGGTGCTTGTGAGACTCAAAACAAGCAAATGAGATAACATTTTCCATCTCCAATCGTGTTTTACTGTGATGTTCAAATGTTTTGCAGTAGAGAAAGCACAGAAAGGATGTTGTTGCCTGTGAGGGTTTCAGCTATTTCACAGTGTTTGATTTTCTTTTTCAGCCAACATACAGGAGTCTAGCCTGTCAATCAGCTTCATTCCCCCACCTCTGCTGCAACATCTAGGTTGCTGCAGTAGAGAACACAGTGTGGAAGGCTTGGGGGAGGAAGAGAGAGCAGTGCTCCCCCAGGGAGGTGAAATGGAGATTAACCCCGGTGACCATAAGTGCATCGGTAGCCTTCTTAGATATTTCTCTGGGCAGATTCTGTTGGGTGTTGACCAGGACCTTAAGCTGTGTTACATCCATCAGGGAGAGTAATCACTGAATATAATAAACTAGTGGGCCATGCCAGAATCATTAGAAAAAAGGGGGTAGGGAAGCATCATTATTGTCTGGCATAAAAGCTCCAGAAAAGGCAAATAAATCTAACTGTAGAGGTAAAGATACGGGCCCATTCGAAACATCCATTCCAGAGCTTCTCCTGGACCAAGTCGGACTCCCCAAACCATCTTCAACAAGCCCTAATCAAAACTGAACTGAGCAAGCTGTTCTTTGGTTTTCTTAAAAATTAACTGGGAGCAAGCAGGAGACTTGGGCACTGGGGTCACCGTTCACGTCAAGCCAAGGTTCACTGGACGTGCCAAGACAAAACCAAATGAAGTACGGTGTAGCTTATGATGACAGGAGGTGTGAACCTGTATCTCATTCTGTCTCGCACACCTGCAGGCACATTGTCACGAGTATTGCTTCTGGGGAAGTGTTGTCAATTTTCTTTCTGAGATCACATCATTTCTTGAGTTCCCCCCTCTCCAACACACACACATTCACACTTGCTTTTGAAGAAGACCCTTGCTTCCTTGGGGTGTGAGTTTTGCTGGGGGATCCCCAAAGGTCAGCCATGCTAGTCCAGCTCTTCAGCCTCTGCATGGAGGCCGATGTGCAGGAAGACGCCATCTCAGTTCATGGGGGAAGGGATGGAAGCCTTCAAGATGGGTCAGTGGTTGACGATAAGGACCCCACCAGATTGACTGAGTCCAGAGGTAAGTTACAGAGTTGACTGCCTCACAGGCAGCATTTTATAGCCTTGATCTAAGTACCGAGTTTAGTCAATCAACTGTTAAAATCAAAACACTTAAAACCTAATCAAGACAGCTAAATCCTTTAATTGGATGGCAATCCTCAGAGAAAACGCTCAGCGGCTCCTATGTCAGCAATGTTTTAAAGCAACATTTGGAACCTTAACTCTTCTGCATTTCAACGGAATCGGCATAGGCTCTGAGACAAATTGTCCACTGGATGAGCACTGGGTCCCTTTACTGAGGCCATGGTTAAACAGAGGACAAGGACCACCTGGCAAACTCTCCTACATCAAACTTCAAGGGAGAGACTGCTGATTCTCCACGCAGTGATGTGGACCTCTTGCTGCTCAACAAAGGGTGAGTTATGGCCTGGTGGGTCTGCCCCAAAGAGCTTTCCAAACCCTTAGCAAAGGCTTGGAAAATTTATCACAACTTTCCTTGCTGTCCACATCCGAAGCAGATGGGGAATTCTGGGAGTTTAAGTCCACTTAAAGCTGCCAAGGTTGAGAAACACCAGTCTGGAGAAAGGAGAGGAATGGATCCATTGGTTTAAGAAGGTTGGGCAACCCGCCTCCACTCAAATTGCATTTCTGGAAGAAGATCTAGCCCACATGAGCAGCTCTAGCCATTCCTGCTAACATCATTTTTAGATTTAGAATCTCCAGAAGGCCATTTAGAGAGGGGTCTGTCCCCAAACAGCGATAGCCACTCAATGACAGAGCAGAGTGTTTGAAATTCTTCCATTTTTTTAGAGATTTGGCCACCCAACTGCAACTGGGGATAGTGGTCTCCTCCTTCATTTGCAAGATTGTTTTTAAAATTCATGGCTATGGTGTGAATGAAAGAACACTGGATGCTGGCAAGCCGTAAGTAAGCACCACACTTCAGATCCTACAAAAGCCTTGGACGTGGGGGTCCACGGGGAGGGGTCGGAAATGTCAAGATGTTGGCCACAGTTGTGCATTCAAAGTCCTGCCCCTTTTTTGGACTTTTTGCAGGAAACAGAAAAAAATGAAATTACGTTGTAGGGATTTGATGATTAGAAATAATATGGGTTAACAGAAATAATGGAAGTTATGTTGTAAATTTATCTGTTGCAAGGAGGGTCGGAAGTCCATTTTTTTTCTTTTATCTCTTCTTTTCTGCACTCTTCATCTTTACTCTCCCTTTTTTTCTAATCCCTTTTGTTTCTTTTTCTTATTTTTTCTTAATATTCGTTCTTGTTGGTTCTTACTGTTCTTCTTTTAAAATTTAATGAAGTTATTATAAAAAGCAAAATAGGAACATAAAAAATCCAAAGGCGTGCCCCTTCTGGCAGGCAATGTGGCACGTGTTAAAAAGGGGGCTTCAACTGCATGGTGGTGGCCAACTTCTTGACTTTTTTACCTTTCCCCCGCACCCCCGAGGACACCCCTGGGTGTTACAGCCCCGGTAGACACACACAGTGATTCTGAAGCAAGCTGGAATGATTACAGGTTGGGGTTAAGATCAGGTCAGGCAGCTGAACACATCTATGGCCCCAGGCGCTCATGTTATTATTTTTAATTTACAAGGATGTTAACCTTTTCTGCAAGAAAGATGCTTATTCCCTGACAATATATTATGTGTTGTGTCAGCAGAAGGAAACATGAATCTTTTTCCCTCCCTCCCTCCTTCCATTTTTTTTTCAGTTCTGGGTGCACCACTGTGGCTTCAGTGAATTGATAATGCAAATCTGCACAGGTTCAGGAAGATTTCGGTATCCAGAGGGGTGGCTGGTGTGTCTTTGGAAGCAAGCGACTTTCTCTATTCCAGAGTTTCTCAGTGTGGTCCGAGGACCCCTGGGAGTCCCCCGAGACTCTCTCCGGGCTCCGTGGAATCAAAATTATTTGCCAACCTCTGTTGAAAAAGAATGCAATATTAACATCCCATCTAACGATCGTGAGAAGCGGTCATGGCAGCAAATGCATCCCTTTTCATTTTTAATACGGTAAATATTGATCAATATACCCACAATACCCACAAAAGCTCCTTTGGGGTCCTCCATAGTTTTTAAAAGTGGGAAGGGGTGCTGAGAGAAAAACGTTTAAGAAACACTGCTCTCATCTATTGGGGAGGTCAAAATGGGTGGGGATAGAAGAAAAGGGGGCCTTGTTCCCACAGAGCTTGGTGACCACAATGATAGGATTGAAGCCCAACTTTTTTTTTTTTTAACATCGCATGAAAAAACATGTGGGACTTGGATTGTGCCATTGCAACTCCCCTCTGCACTTTTTTGACCCTCACCTAAGTCATCCCTCCTATTATCAAGCTTCACAAACTGAATAATATGGGCAGTTGTCTAAAACAGAAGCCAAGGAGCCTTCATGTCTAAAGGCTTGGTCCAAAAGCCCGGGAGCGACATGGAGAAAAGGTGTTCATTTGGGATATTCATCACAACACTATCCAGGAAGACTAAGCTGGAGTCAAAGCTGAGTTTATGAAAGTAAAGTCAGCCAGATGGAGAAAGAAGGCAGATCAGGACGGCCACAGGCATCAGGCAGAAGCAACAGGGAAGCGAAGCCATGAGGATGCTACAAATGCCATTTTGGTGCTGATGATGCTGATGAAGGAGGATGCTTGGGGACCGCTTGGCTGGATTTGCACAGCCCACTAAGCCATGGACTGTGGAACAAACCAAAAACAGTGCTAGATTCATACCAGGGCTGGATTTATACCCAAGCCACCCTAGAAATTCCAGCGGCTGGGTTGATATGGGGCACCTTGCCAACATCAAGCAAGCCACAGTGTGGGTTGCCAATTCACACATGATGCCTAGCCGTAAAATGTGGCTAGTGGGTTGCACGTCCCCCGAGAAGCACATTACATGGCTTGACAGGTTGAGCAAACTGAGTAACCAGCTGAGGATAACGTAGGGATCCTGTTATTGGGGTCTGCTGGTGAACTTCCATAGCTGACCTCACGATGCCCTTGGAAATTTCTACAGCCCCCCAGCCTGCATGGGTTCCTCAAGAGGACCCTGTGCTTCCCCACCCCTCGGAGGGCTCTGCTCACGATCCGATTGTGGGTCGTTAATCAAAGCCGCGACAATGAGAGGGTCCGCAAAAATATAGCCTAGCTGGTGCTTCATTTGTTGTCATCGATTTTCCCATCGCTGTTTATTACCAGTATTTGCTTTGTAAGCCTCCAAAAATAAACTCCACAGCATGGCACAGCACGTTCCAAAATGCCTCTGCTAAACCATCGGCATGCCAGCTTCTTTCCCCACGGATAAAACCAGCCAAATGGGGGTCATGATCTTTGGAACGAGGAGGGAAGCGTCTCGCTCCGTGTAAAAGAGGCTTCTGTTAAGCAGCAGCTATGCGCAACCAGTAATTTAGAGGGCTATGAATGCGCAGCAAAATGGCTTCTCCTCTCCCCACCCCCCCTTTCTCTCCGGCACACAAATGCACAAGTTTCTAGTCCTTCATATCCTGAAGATACTTTCCAGGGGTCTCCTAGAATGCTGCTCCTTTCCTTGGGTCAGAACCAGAGCAAATTGTGCAAACCAGTGAACAATTATAAAAGTAATTGACCATATTTCATTTGCACAATTTAACCAAGCTGAGAATCCAGCTTTCCTTGGTACAGAATTTTAATGTTTTAGTGTAGATTATGTGTCTTGGCCCGAGCACTTGATGACCAATAGAGCTGTCGCTCAGTGAATGAAATATGAGTCAATTATTGGTCTGAGTCTTAGTCAATCAATTTAATTTTTCAATTATATTTGCATACTTTTGCAGGAGCTCAACCCACAACATTTTCCTGCTTGAGGTAAAGGACGAGATGGGGCCATTTTCTTTCCAAATTCCAGGAACATCATCAAGCTGGAGCAGTGGGTGAATTTTAATTCAGGATCGGTCAAGACAGCACGCCCTACACCACCACAGAGGATCCTGTTTGTAAGCATTCGGTTCCATGGTTGCACGACGTTGCATTTCAGAGATAATCACCTTTCCGTACAGTGACCATATATGTCCTTTATTATAGAAAGCGGTCCTTTAGATTTCTTTAATTATTTATTCTCTGGGTTTGGCTCTTGAATTCTCCTTTGTAGAACCAAGTTATAAACAGAAACCACTTTTTTTAACCCTTGGGAACCTCTTTCAGGTTTGCCCCTTTTTCAAGTTGGTCCTTTATTTTTTCCAAGAAAATCCGGTCCCTGTCCCTTAGCGGGAACCTCCTTCTTTAAATGGTCAGATCTCTCCTTTCAAAACATAGGAATCCAACTCTGTTTATCCACCCTGAACTTCCTGATTCCTTGGAGGAAGGGTGGGGGAAAAAGAATGAGAGGAATATGGGAATATTTCTCACTTGGCCTATACACAATCCTTTAAATCTGCCACAGCAAGAAGGGTGGCGTGCATAGGATCGCTGAATTAGAGGACAGCTGGGAACACGCAGAAGAGGTAGGAATATCAATAGCTATTAACTAAGGTGGTCTGGGAATGCATACTCATAATGAGTATTTGGCAGCTCGCTGTAAGTCAATAACTGGGAGCAAGCTATTAAGTGACTCCATCTGGAACTAAGTATCAAGAGGCAGTTGCATAAACCATCGGGCGAAGTTTCCTTTCATTTTTCCTCTCTGTTTTTGCCCTTGGTTTGCCCCAAAAGTCACGGAAGGGCTAAGAGAACGAAAGTGTGGTAGGGTTAAGCGAAAGCTAGGTGGAAAGATGGATTCCACCTGGGGTCACCCTTGGCTGGCGGAGAGGCTGGGAAAAAATGGTTTGGGTCCTTCCTGCAATGGATGGGGTGAAAGACCACCAAGGGGTGTGTGCCTGTGCGCACACTCAGTCCCACACCCACCTCGGGAATGATGGATGGGAACCAGATCCAGTTTGCAAAAGCTGGGTGAAAACTCCACTCAATGGTATTGACCACAGCCTTAAATATCTTCATTAATCCAGGATTGGCATCCATCCTCCTCTTTATTATTGTTGCTATTAGGAGCCGTAATTGATTGCAGTTAGTTTAGAAGAACAACCACGGTATTTCTTTGTTTCCCCCTCCTCCTTCAAGTTTTTTTCACCCCGCACCCTTTTCTCAAAGTACATTTATAGCAGCAGGATGGGAAATGGTGAGAAACGGTCGCTGTTTTGAAGAATCCTAGCTCCCTCTACTGTAAGAAGTCCGTTAAACTCACATCTCGGCAAGGATGGGCCCGTTGCAGGTAGCAGACTCGGGGATAGGCTAGCCAACAAGGATTCTTGGTTAGAGGCCTCTTAGGTGCAACTGTGTCCTCATTCAAATGGCAACATGCTTGTCCCATTCAGAAATGCTTCTGCATCCCCAGATTTCAGCTGATGCTGGATTTTTCATGACCGGTGGCTGATACATGATGTTCAAGTGGTAAATGTTTAGACCAGTGTTTCTCAACCTTGGCCACTTTGAGATATGTGGACTTCAACTCCCAGCATTCCCCAGCCAGCATGGCTGGCTGGAGAATGCTAGGAGTTGAAGTCCATATATCTCAAAGTGGCCAAGGTTGAAAAACACTAGTTTAGACAAAGCTGCTCCAACCTGCAAAGGAAGAAAGGTTATATTTTTGGCATTTCCCTCTCAAAAAATTGCTTCAGTCTTGCAGCACTCCTTGAGTGGGTGGCTTTCAGATCCATTCAAGTCATGTTCCACCTTTTCTTTTGCGCACAAAGCCAGACAGAGTCCATGCTGTATTTACAACCCTCATTTGTTTTGTGTGGGTTAGGGTTGGAGGGTTGAATCCCATGAAAATCCAGATGTCTGGAGAAGGTCAATGTCCCTCTCTTCCAAAAGGAGAACGCTGAGCTGACCATGGTTTATTCCATAAAGATGGGTTTGTGTAACAGTACACCCCAGACTTTCCCTTAGTAGCAACTGATGCCTAGAGGACATGGTGGCCATGGCCACCCAAGGAACTGGCAAGGCTGTTGCAACTTCCCTCTCCCTCTGGGGAACACAGCAGCAAATATTCCTTCTCCTTCCTTGAACGTGCCCTTCATCCACCCATCTGCTGTTTCCTCAAGCCAGGACAGATCTATTCCTGTCCAAGTCTGAAAGCCGAGTGATAAAACAGGAGGCTGCGTTCAATGATCTAATCATAATACATCATATTTTTGGTGCATAAAATTGGACTGACTTGATGTCGGAGTGATAAAATATAATAGGTTTGCAATCTTCCAAAGGTTCCACTTCCAGTCCTCCTTTTCTTCTGACATACATTGTAATCCTCCAAAATTACTTTTTCTCCCTCTGTTCGTGTAAGGTTAGGAAGAAGGAACTGGCCTTCCCCATGTAGCCCTTCTGTCCAGATCAGTGTTTCTCAACCTTGGCAACTTGAAGATGTGTGGACTTCAACGCCCAGAATTCAAGCTGGCTGGAGAACTCTGGGAGTTGAAGTCCACACATCTTCAAGCGGCCAAGGTTGAGAAACACCGGTCCAGATACTGAACAATGTCATGCCAGATGATTCACACTAAACCACAAATAAATGCATTCTATAAACTGTGGTTGAACAAACCATTGTTTGGGGCACAAGTTTGAACCATGTCACTGTGGAATTTGGGGAAGGCAAGGGCTGAATGAGAGCTTCTGCCAGGGTCCACCACTGAACCTCCCACCTAACCAGCGTTGCACTGTTTTCAAGGTGAGTTGAAGCCTGGTCCCTGATTGGGGCAGACAGCTCCCCCCACCAAGGAAGAGGAGTTGTATCTCAGTCCCCTGCAGATGATCAGATTTGGCTGCAGAAAGACATCAAGGAGGCACTAAAGGAGAGCTGTGAATAACGTTCCCTCTGCCATCCACAGCTGCGCGGTGATAATGCCGTGAGGTCCGACCGTTTTGACCAGGTGACAATGACACGAAATGGCTTTTTGGGGAGAAGGAGGAAGAAAAATACTCAGGAAAAAATAAGTGATAAGATTTGGGCTGTAGGAAGTGCTTGATCTGAGACAGAGAATGGGCAGTGGGTCCAGAAGAGATCTGCCTCCCCTTAAGAGACAGGCGCTTTTTTCTGCTCTTCATGCAGAACTTGGCCACCACATGACCTTGGGCTAGAACAACCCCCTTTGCCCTTCCTCCACCCTTTCTTGGAACATCCACCCCCGCCTCAGTCTTCCTCTTCCTCCTCCCCACTCCAGGTTATAAATTCAAATTCAACCTCATTAAAACCGCAAGTCCTCATCGTCTAGCCGGAGCTCCTCAAGGCCCTGCGCAGGGGGGATCCCATCTGCCTTCCCGCGTGGTAATTCAATCAGGCTCGGTGTCTGTTGCTCGCAAACTGCTTGGCCTGCACTTTCGGCCCAAATTTATGGGGCTGGGAGCGTCGAAACGCTGAGTTAAAGCGCTGAGCTTGGGTTGAGGGCCTGCGTTATTCTGCAACTCATCCCTCCACCTTGACAGGCACAGGAGGCGGAGGGAAGCCCCTTGTACAACCGACTGGCGCAGTCTGCATTGTTCCCTCGCCTTTTATGTCAGAAGTTAGAAAGCCGGTGGAGATCTGGAAGCTGTCAGCACAACGCTGCAAGTAAACAATGAGGCTGCTGAGGCACGGAGCAATAAATAAAAGCCCCGAGGAATGGGAAATCCAGGGGGTGGGGACGAAAAGAAGATGTGAAGGTTTGGCTGCCTTGCGTGGATGTCATGCACGTCTGGTCTTTCAACGGCAATTGTGCTTTCGGGTCTTGTGTTCTCACGTGGGGACACAGTTTCAGTTGTACAGGTAGTCCTCACTTAATGTCCACAATTGGGATCGGAAACTCCATCACTAAGCGGCACAGTTGTTAAGCGCGACATCACGTGACCACACCGCTTAGTGATGGCAGTTCCAGCAGTCCCGGTTGCTGTTGTTAAGCGAGGACCTCAAGTAACCATGACTTCTGACTTCCTGCTGGCTTCCCCATTGATTTTGCTTGTGGGACGCTGGCAGGGAAGGTCACAAATCACGATCATGTGACTGCAGGATGCCACGATACCATAATTGCGGGCTGGTCACCAAGTGCCTGAATTGCAATCACATGACTGCGACAATGGCAACTACAAGGACCATTCATAAGTACAGGTCATCCTTTTTAATGACCACAATTGGGACTGGCAACTTGGTCATTAAGTGAAGCAGTCATTAAGTGAAATATCACAATTTTACAATCTTACTTCATCTTTCCTTTGCTTTACAGACTTGCGAAGGTCGTAAATGTGAGGAGTGGTCACAAAGTTACTTTTTCATCACCACCATAACTGCAAACAGTCGCTAAACGAGGTAGCTGCTAAATGAGGACTACCTGTACCGCTTGTTCAGCACCATTGTAAGTTCGAATGGTCATTGAAGAAGTGGTCGTTAAAACAGGACTACCTGTCTATTGGTTTGCTATGAGGGTACATGATGCCCTGTTCAGGCTCGGTGAGCCCAGGGCTGTCTGCGGGATGTTGTACATAAAAAACAGGCAGAGCCTTGACTATACCATCCCAGCTGCCATCTTGACTGTTCTGACTAGACATCTCATAGCAGTTAGCTGTTCCAACCTGCAGAGCAGAAAAAATTAAAATCTTAAACTGATTCCAGTCCACAAACTCTTTGAGGTAAACCAGGTCAAGAAACAGAGCCTGCAAGAAATATTGGATCTCTGTTGACCTAGGCCAGTGTTGTCCAAACTTGGCCACTTTAAGATGAATGGACTTCAACTCCCAGCATGGCTGGCTGGGGAATTCTGGGAGTTGAAGTCCACTCATCTTAAAGTGGCCAAGTTTGGACAACACTGACCTAGGCTATAATAACAGAACCTTGAAAGCATTTCCCCTTCTCTCCCTACTATACCAAAGAGAGTCAAGGCAGGGCCATCCTGAGTTTCCTTCTCACACTTCCCTATTTTCCTGGGCTAAGCTCATGTTTTAATAATGGTCGTCACATACCTTCTCCGAGATCATCTCTGTGCTCCTCTGCAAAATCCCATTGGCTGGTCACATAGTCTGGAACTGAGTCAGCACTGTCTGCTAGGCAAAGCCAAGACAAACCACATCCATATGTTTAGGGGGACGCATAGCCCCAGCCTAAATATATGCCATTGCTAGTTGGCATCTTTTGTAAAGAAGTCTAAAGAGGTGGCAAGACGTGTCTCTGCCTCTTGGGTCCGCATGTTTGAAGAACGGAGAAGCTTCAATGATGCAAAACCAGGCCTTCAGCGTATGCTCAAAAGAATCTAAATATGCTACAGCAAACTGGAGCAACTGGGAGGTTTGATTGGGAAATGAAGCCACTGCAGTAGCTAACATCTGCCCGCTTTCACCTGCAGAAGCTGCAGCAATAAACCTTATGGGCATTTTGAAGAAATCTTGCTTCTTTCCTAAAGCCTAGGGAACTATTTATTGTTAAAAGAGCCTCTAGTTTTCTATCATCAGAAGAAAAAGAAATATTTAGTTTTTGCTAAATGCTGTGTGGGCAGAAGGGAGAGTCCATAGTCCCTTATATAGCCTGACAGTAGCTTGTTTTAATCTTTACTTGTTGCTGCTAACGCAAGTAAGGGGCATAAGATTTTATGGAAGTATCTAAAATGTTTTACAGCTGTTCACTTTTTCTAACTGTGATGGCACAGTTGCTGTGTTGTATTTTAAGAACTGGGACTTGATCTCATGCTTTGTTTTTGCAGCTATGGATTAAGTACAACGCTGGCATGATGCGTTTCAGCCATGCACCGCAGAACATAGACTTTTGCACCAAAAGGAGCAAGGATCTGCACCCTGAAAAGACATTCCACATTCCAAGGAAAATTATGCACATTGACATAACATAATCACCCCGTATTTTGCTCTTTGGGATTACTGTATGGAGGAGCTCAAGGTTTATGCAACAGGAGCCCATCTTGTCAAGAGCCAATATGTAAAGAAGACGTAAGGGAGCCATCGCTAACCAACATGCCCAGATGTGCGGGGTTGCCATCCCAAAACCCTAGCTAACAAGGCCAAAGCACTTGCTGGTTAGCAATTCTGGAACTTGAAGTCCAACATATCTGGAGAGTGCCAGGTATGGAAGGCTAGCATAAGACCCCCATTATATTCAGCCATAGAACCATTTAGACTAGCTATGGTGATGGAGGTGCCACTAGGAAGCCCACAAGTAGGACGTGAAGGCACCAACTTCTCTTATCCACATCTGGCATTCCCTCTGCATATTACCTCTGTGCAGGAAGATTCTGCATAACCATCCTGGCCAACAGCCAAGGAGAGACACCACCTTTACCTTCCAAACCTGAACACGCACCTGAAGAAACGGGTGGCTTAGCCCTGACCCCAAACCACTCATGGCAATTCAGATCCATCGTTCAAGTATCAGGAAGCTCAGTCCTGGCTATTTATTGTTCCAACTCTGTTCCCTTCTCTGTTCTGTTCTCCAGTATGTGCCTTTTAAAAACATTAATGGGAAAACCATATATTAGGCTGAAAAATACATTCAGCGTCTCTCAGGAATTCTTAACCTGGAGAACAGTGAAGACTATTTGGAAGTGTTTGGAAAGTAAACTATCTCCTTTAGCAATGCTGGGTTGGAATTCTAATGATGGTGGAACAGGAATTATGGCATGGGTAAATATTAATTGACAAAAGAGCCACGGCACTCTTATTTTAGTCTTCATAATAGATCTGCCTTGGAGGCAGAAAAGACAAACGTGTACAGGGAAATGAAAATAAAATATGGCACACCTGATACCAACGAATAATGGAAATAGGCTGAATTTACCCTAGTGGGGGTGGGAAAGCTTTGCACAGTGTTCAGCATCCTACATGCCAATTAATTGAATTTAGGCTGGGAAATTACATAAGGGGTATCAACGTTTTAATTGAATGGCGGAAAATCAGCATTAATTTTGCCAGTGGAAAAAAAAAACCCAAACGCGTAGAATTTGAAATTGCTTATGCCAGCTTTCCCCAATCTGTTGCTTTCCAGATATGGGAGACGGCCAATTCCCCAAATTTCCAGGCTGAATAAATCTGAACAGCGACAGACTGGGGAGAACTGACTGCAACTTGAACATAATCCATGGATGTCTCACCTGAGAGCTAAGTCTGTTAAAGTCTCATTGGTCCCATTGGGAAAATTAACAGCGTGTCTTCTCCAGGGAAATCCATATAAACTAAATGTGCTTAAACTTGATTGGGTAATCCCTCCTAATCTTTTAAACACAGTTCAGAAAAGCAGGTCTGATGGATCCAAGGATAGCTCCCTAAGCTTTCGATATAGACCACTTGCCACACCATCTATGGATTGTGGGGGCTGTAGATCTGCTTTATTGACCAAGCGAGCAGTGTGTAGTAAGCAACAATAGGGTTACTAACTCATAGATTTCCAGACTGTATCGCCCTTACCGCCTTGGAAAGAACTGAGGGATATTCAGAAACCCCACTTGTTTTCTCAAAATCTGGCACGCACGCAATCCGCAGCCTTGTGAAGAATTTTGCTGGAGGCCCCAGTTACCGTGGGGGTTTGGGGTGGGGGGGAGACACAACATCACGTGTGCCACAGCTTGCATCGGACACACGCGTCAGCACCTGTTGCTTCCTGATAAGCTAAAATTAAACTTTGTGATTGTAAAATCTGTGAGAGGGAGGAAAGGAGGAATCTCTTTAGGAAAGAGAAAGGGATGAGGTTGAAGAAAAATTGTGTTTATGCTTGACGCGCCTGCTGTTCTGCTGTCAGCCTTGCAAGGTAGTCCAGACAAGAAGCACACCCAGAAGTACTAGCTCTAACTTTATTGTCAAATTACATTAACAGAATCTTGCAAGTCTGAAAGTACATCTCTCTCCCCTCATCTTTCCAGCCCGAGAAACTAGGGAGGGTCCCTTCTGAGATGTTTTCTACACCTCCATTGCTTCTGTGGGCTAAGCTGCCCCTTATCTGACTGTTGTCTAGTCTGTGGCTCTTCCTCCTGTCTCCCAAGGTCATTTCCACATCCCATCACATCAACCATGGTCCTTTCCACTTGCAGAAGATTAAGCCAGGCCTGGATGGGACTTATTTTAATACAAAATCAGATGTCTTGAAGAGCTGGAATAACTGGCTGAGATGGCTGGCTGGTGGCCTACTTCTGTTTCTGCATGCCTGAGAAACGTGGGCCCAGGTTTTCCTACAGCACCTGAGTGGAATCCATAGAAATTCTTGCACAGGATCCTCTGCAGTGCTGCAGGATGAAGCGATTGGCTGGACATGGTGCAGTGAAGGGGTGGGTAAAAGAAAGGAGAAGCTGGCATTTGAATGGTACAGGAAGATTTTGGGGAGGAATGTGGCAGTGGTGAGGCTGGTCTCTGACAGCACAATCCATAAAGCTATGCTGAGTTTCCTTAGCTCTTTGTTTACAAACCCACTGTGAATTCACATGTAATCCAACATGTTTGGTTTAGGGCTTAATGTGTGAATTCAGCCAGCTATAGCTTGCATAGTGCAGCATTGTTAAAATAACCCATTTTTTAGTGCAAGCTCGTAACGCCATACACCAGGCTGTTCCTCCACAACTTCTCCTACAATACATTATTTAGATTTAAGATGCCCTGGGACCTCACTGGGTACTTTTAGTTACTAGCAGAAAAGTGAGCAGAAAATCTATCTATGTGGTTGCTAGGAGTCGAAAACGACGTGATGGCACGTAATCAATCAGAAAAGTGAGATAAAAGCATTAACATTAAATCCGTTTAATCATAGTTTCTTATTCCTGTTAGCCCTTTAAATGTTTCAATTAGTAAAACCAAGGTGGTTTTTTTTTTTTAATTTAATTTTCTTCTCCTTGTACTGAAAAAGGGCAACAGGATTCCTTTTTTATTCCCTGCAGTGATTTCCCAAAACGCTGCAGTTTCATATTGCCTGATGTGATTTATGTTCTTTTTTTTTGCCTTCCTCCCCCTCTCAAGCACAGCTATGAAATAACATGAAATGTGGTCTGTCATACAGCTAAGCATATTTTGAGCCATCTTTTTCTTATTATATTAATATTGATCAGAGGTCTTCTCCTCCTGGTTTTGAAAAATGCACACTTCAAGAAGAAGAAAAGAAGGAGATTTGATTGGGCCGGTTATAATAAGAACACAATGATCCAAAACGTGTTAACTTCACAGAACACACATTTCTTTTTCTTTGCTTCCCCCCCCCTCCCCTTTTTCTCTTTGCTTCTGCAGACAGACCAAAACAGGGAGCAGGTAATTGGCCACCAACTTTGCCTGCCTTTAAAAGGGTCCCGTTCCAAATCATGCCGGATAAGAATCATTTGGGGTTCGTCTGCTTTCTTGTGCAAACGCATGGTTAGAATTAAGCAAAGTGCACCAGGAGGAGGTCCAGCAGGGTTAGCATCAGAAGCCGTAGCTGTTTTCCCCTTGGTGGATCTCCACAATCTGTTCCTGCTGGCCTGAATCTTGGCTTGCAAACCTGACTTAGCCGTGGGGTGCATCAAGGGAGAATTTAAGCAGAAATGTGGTAATTTGTGCTGAAATGGGTTGGTTCCCAGGGCGCTTTCTCGGTCAGCATACGCAGGTAAGGATTAGAAACTCAGCTGAGTTCCTTTTCCAACATGGATCCCACAAGACGTCCTTGTGTGGAAAAAGCATGTTAGCCTTCTATTTCAGATGTTGCCTCAGCCTCGGCTTCCCTCAGTAAGACAGAGATCCTTTGCCAGGGAAGCACAAAGGCTACGCAGCCCATAGGCTTCTGTAGGAGCTAGACCGCTCTGCAGATACGGCCCCATTTATTTATATTTTATCCATTTATATTTCAAATGTGGACACCGCCCATCTCACGAGGAAGTGACTCTGGGCGGTTTACAATTAAAAACAACAAATAAATATGAATTAAAATACAATAAAAATAGTATAAAATACAATTAAAACCAAATACATACTTAAAAACGCCTAATCAAGGAGGTAAATTTATCAAGAAACCTACCGATCTAGGGTTCTACACAGTGAGGTGAGGCTCCATCATACGGATTTGGGGAAGCTGAATAACGCTGGGAAGAGTCCCGAGGTGGAACTCCACTGTCCTTTTCAACACGGAGGCCTTTTTTCATGAGAGAACTATAAGAAACCAAGCCCCTTCCCCCTCACGGGTGTTTCGAAAGGCCCAGAAGACCTGACTTTTCACCCAAGGCCTTTGATGAGGGTGCTGAAAGCCCCCCCCCTTTTTTTCCTTTTTCTCCATCTGGGTTTATTTTCTCTGCCATCTTCGTTCTTTTTTGCTTTGTTTTCTTGCTTTCCTATTTTTAACCATTGGTAAACTGCCCAGAGTCGCTGGGAGTCGGGCAGCCTATAAATAAAAGTAAGTAAGTAAAGGGAGCTTCAACTTTGCTCCACCACACAGCCATAGTGGGGTCCACGGACCCCCGTGAGCCATGATGCATTGGGGGTGGGGTTACTGTGGAATCCTGTCTGTGGTGGTTTGTACATCCATGGCAAACCTAGAGAGCATATTAAAAAGCAGAGACGTCACCTTGCCGACAAAGATCCGCA